AGAGCGTGTGTGTCCGTGTGTGTGTGTGTGTGTGTGTGTGTGTGTGTGTGTGTGTGTGTGTGTGATCAGAATGCGTGAATGCACGAAATATCGTTCTATTTGTTCCTTTCAAGGTACAGTTCATCCTTCGAATGCACGGTGTCGCCGTYAGCAATGAACACATCATTCCATGGACATTACAAAACCCTTGTCCCATTAATATAACACATCCCCGTGAACACAACATATGCCCAGAACAAAGACGGTTGTCCCATCGCCCACAAAATACACGAATCCATTGTTTGAATGAAAAAGAAGAACAACGTTGTTTTCCCTTGTCAATTGGAACATGACTTCGAAGCGCGTTAAAACCAATCATTGTGTACAGAACCGAAGCCTCCGCTTGTTCATATTCCACAACGAATGCAGGAAGAGGACGCAGAGAAAGTAAACGGAAAGTGAAGGACGATTACGAAATGATATACACGGCGCTGACAGCGAAACACACAAAGGCGTCTGTCCTCCTACGAAGAAGATAAAACACGTGCCATCCACTTGACAACCTAAATAGTAGACACCGAACGACGCAAACTTGGTGCACTACCAACCGATCGATCGTCGGTGGTGTGGGTGTGCAAGACGGAAAATTGATAGAAAACGAACCACGGAAAACAGGGACAGGAAGCGCGACTCCCAGCGTGAAAGCCCCGGCAAAGGACGCAACAGCGATGGTGGCATCGCGACGGCAATCGATACAGTCTCCTCGCTGCAGATACCCGCCCTCGCCGCCATCATCATCTTCATCGTCGTCGTCATCATCCAAAAAGGGGGTCTCGTTCTGGCGATCCAGTCCATGTTGCACTGCCACCATCTTCACCTTTGTCTTCGTCTTTCCCCCACCGTCATGATCTTTGTGCGCACGGATGACGCACCCTCGCCCCCGACGTTTACTAAGCCCTTCCACGAACGATCGCCCGCCCTCGCCGGCAGTCCATCCACTTCCACTCCCACTATCACCCGCCCTCGGCGCCATCAACATCGTCGTCGTCCCGAGTCTTCCTCCTCAGGGGGGCCTGTGCCGAGCCAATCTGTCTTCGTTGCTTCCATCGGGGAGGACAAAGTCGCGTCGTGATTGAACGTGACGCAGCACTTCGATGCCCAGTCGGGGATGTACAGTGGGGGGGGAGCAAATGTCGGAGGCGGTCTTCCCAGTTTCTCCGTCATCACAGTTGCGGCTAGCAAGACATGACGACGGGAGTCAAAATGGCGATCCATGGCAGCAAGAAGTGTGGTCTTCGACGTCAACTACATGAAAACCCAGGCGTCGAAGTGCGATCTTGCGTTGTCCCCAGCCATCCTCATTATCCACGCCGCCGCCGCCAGCAAGTACCTCATCGCCTCCGCCAGGGACTTCAGGCGCTCGTAAGACACACGCCCCGAGTCCATCGCCTGCGCCATCTCCACCACATTCGTGAAATCGCGCACCAAACGTTGAGCGATGGCCTCCTGGTAAGCCGCGCACTCGTCGTCCTGGTGCCTGTCCACCACGTTCGCTCCGACGAACCACAAAGGGAGCTTCATAACCAACTCCAGCGTGTTTCGAATCGCCATCGGGCTGACTAACGAACGCCAGTCCTCCAATGCCCACATCGCTCTCGCCATGTCAGTCGCCGCGTGGTTCAAGGCGTACTGGTACTCCAAGTGATACCCCTTGTGTCTGCTGTCGGACTTGAAAATCCAGCCGTGGATGGCCCTCTTCGCAATGCTCTCCACCTTTAACGCCCTTTCCTTCGCCGCCCTCAACTCCGAGGCGTCTTTGATCTTCTTCTGCGGAATGGAACTATGGGGGAGGCTGATGCTCCTTCGGATCGCCGATGGCTGCACCCCCGTCGCCACATCAAAGAGGTGAACTCGGGCTCGTGCATGATGTCGATGATTTCTTTTCCCCGCATTTGATTCCAGAACCGAATGTTGTCGGTTCATAGCCTCGCGGCCACCTCCATCGCTTTCGCCTCCGGACGTTGCCCGCGAAGCTTCATCACTTGCGGTTCGTCGTCTTCGCTCGCCGCCCCGCCATCGCCCGCCTTCGCAACGTCCGCCACGGCTGACGCACCCTGAACTGCCTCCCCGCGAGGCTGCGGCGCAGGGGAACGCATCGTCGACTGGTCGACCACAGCTTGGGAACTGCTAGCCACGCCAACAGCCTGTTCGCTCCGCTTACTCGACGGCGTCTGCCGCTGATCAGGAGCCACCTCCGCAGCGCCCACCCTTTTGATCCGTATCGCACCCCCCGTTCTCTGCTTCACTTTCCTCACGAGAGTCTGTTCGTCTACTTCTTCGAAGTCGTCGTCCTCCTCCCGTCTCTCCTGTGCATCCACCCAATCTGCCTCCACCTCTCTCCCAACTGCGGCCTTCCCGCCTTGGATGCCCCTTCTTCTCTTCGCGGGATCGTGGCGACCTTTCTTCGGTGCGACCTCGCCTTCCCTGACTTGTTTCCCAAGAACTCTTCGAGATGGAACGGAGCGAGAAGATATTGCGTGTCGTGTGTTGAAGATGGAATGGAAGGCGCGTAAGAAGAACGTGGATCCGTCGACCTCAGAGATGGCGGCGAGAAGATCTTTCCGCGGCGCGCAGTACCACACGACGAGTGGTGGTTGATGGCGGCGAAAGCAGATGGCGGCGAGAAGATACGATGGCGCGACGCACGATAGGAAGGTCGTCGGTGTTTATACTGGCGGAGGTTTCAGGCAGCGACGAGATTAGATGGCGGCGCACATAGAGCACGCTTGATGGCGAGTAATGTCGAAGTAGGCGAGAAGATTACTTGGCGGAGCTCGCAAAACACGGCGATAAAACAGCGATGGCGCCGACGGTGATGCTAGCGAAATTCAAGGCGGTGAGAAGATGTCCTGGAGGCGCGCATGAAAGAGGCGGGGGGCGTTGGGGTGGCGGCGAGAAGATGTCTTGGAGGCGCGCAGAAGCTACAATGGGACGGCGAAAGCACGACGCCTTGCGAACATGACACGCACGCTTTCCGATGACTGCGATGTGGCCCGATGCCTCGGTACTTATAACGAAATGGTGGTCGTGGGGGCAGGGTTGGAGTGATGGCGCGCTGTCGTTTGGCAATCCGCAGTTTGTATGTTTTCCCCAAAACACGGCGGACAGCAGTCAACCGTCGTGCCCACTTGCATCAGGCGACAAGACAACCAATGACCAAAAAAGACGACATCGTGGGACAGCACCCCCCTCCATGAATAACCCAGGCCTGCCAAACCCCCACCTTGCCCGCCGAACGCAACCCCCCAGAACCGACCACGCCCCCCTCCCTGTCTCCATCAACAATGCGATGGGCTGCGAAAACAAAACGAAAAAAGGCGACGTCCCTACGAATGCACGCCCTGTACAAGGAATCTCCGATAACCACAAATTCGGGTACGTACAAAATTGAAAGAACTTCATTCCCATCACGATTATCAAACAAAGACAAGCATGGAGACATTTCATTGCAATCATCTTATACAAAACACAAAAACCTGCCATAGCTCGTTTGTTTCTGTCTGTGCCAGACCAGAGAGAGAGAGAGAGAGAGAGAGAGAGAGAGAGAGAGAGAGAGAGAGAGAGAGA